TTCTTAATTTTGGGTTGGAAAAGTGGGGGTCGTCTTGTACATAGGGACATCTTATTGACAGAAAAATACGGTAAATTATTATGCCAAATATTTGAGCAATACATTTCTTCTCATGACTGGCTATGAATATCTTAATCATACCTTAGGTACTTGTTCCAGATCTGTCCTGGATTTATCTAGGAATGAAATAAAATAAAAATTAAATAACATGACGGATAAAAAGATTTGTATTACATACACCCTCAAGAAATTCCATTCATTCACTAATTTTCAAACTGTTACAAAATTATAACAGGTTTTATTAATTTTTAGAATTGTTTTCTGGTTTTAGTAATTAATGTTTTAATACATTAAATATTATTCTAGATAAACCCAACACATGAAAGGTACTGATTAAAAATTAGGAAAAAAAATAAAAACAGAACCCTACCATGAGTATGTAACAATGTCCTGTCAAAAGTATCTTTAGGAGGACAAATACTCTTACATTTCTCATGAATCTTCTCTTTCTATAGAAGAAATCAGATGAAGAAAAAGTTTGGTTTGAAAAAGATAAAGAACATTTTTCTAATATATTAAGTTCCTTACCCAAGAGGAAACCTTTACCAAAAATTCACTGGCAAAGTGGAATATAAGTGACATAGTAGTATGTTATTTATAACTAAGAATTACAAACTTATCAATACAATAAACCAATGATTTTAAAATTCTCAAGATACTACCCACTCTAATCTTATCATTTACACAGCAGTAGAACCAATTAATTAAATCAGGTGCAATTTGGTTTGGCTTGGTTATGTGGGAGAAGTTTGATCCTGTTGGTCCTAAGCTAGTGGATGGGGTTTTTGCAACTGTTAGCTTGGCCACCACTGTTTTGGATCCATGTCCCTCCTGGTTAGCTAAGGCCTAACTAGAGGTGTTGTGTGGTTGGGTCTTGATGGTGAAAAATTCCTCTTTGAGAGAAGGGGTGGTGCTACTGGCCCTTAAGGAGGCAGTGGTCGCCCCCTCCTCAAGAGGCCACTGCTCAACCCAACTATTCTGGACAATTTTCTTCCAGTCTCTAACCTTCCCTTTTTGGGGAAGTTTGCAGAGAAGATGGTAGTGTGGCAGCTCCAGAGAACTCTGGAAGAAGCAGATTATCTGGACCCTTTTCAGCTGGGATTCAGACCTGGATATGGGACCAAGACAGCATTGATCACACTTCTAGATAACCTCTGGCAGGAGCAGGATGGGGGTAGCGTGTCCATCCTTGCTCTTCTTGACCTCTCAGTGGCCTTCAGTACTATCAATCATGGTAACCTTCTCAACCCGTTTGAGGAGTTAGGAGTGGGTAGCACTGTGTTGTGCTGGCCTTCCTCCTTCCTCCAGGGCTGGTTCCAATCAGTACTGATACAGTGGGAGAGGTCCAACTTCAACATAACCCTAGCAACACTGAATGGCTCTGGGTTTTAGAACCCCCTGGTTCTGGGGACTTTCCATCTCTTGTTCTGGATGGAGTTGTACTACCCCAGATAGAACCTGTGCACAATTTGGGGGTCCTTCTGGACTTGTGGCTCCTGCTTGAAGACCAGATGGCAGTTGTGGCTGGGAGGCCCTTTGTACAACTATGTGTTGTGTGCCAGTTGTGCCTGTTCCTAGACTGGGAGGCTCTGGTCACAGTCACTCATGTCCTGATCACCTTCTGATTGGACTACTGCAATAAACTCTATCCAGGGCTGCCCTTGAAGAGCATCTGGAAACTTCAGCTGGTGCAAAATGTGATAGCATGGGCAATTATAGGCACTTCTGGTTCAGCACATGTGACACCTCTGTTCCACAAGCTGCACTAGTTGCCAGTATGTTTCCAGATTCAATACATTAGCTGATAGTGACCTATAAAGACCTTTATGGCATGGAGCCAGGTTCCTTGCAGGACCATCTCTCCCCAGTTGTGTCTACCTGTCCTGTTAGATTGGGCAGGAGAGGGATGCTCCGGGTCCCATCTATTATGGAGTGTCATCTGGTGTGACCCAGGAAGAAAGCCTGTTCCATCATGGTACCTGCCCTCTGGAACATCATTCCTCTGGAGATCTGACTTGCCCCAACCCTACTGGCTCTCTGTAAGGCCTTGAAGACCTGGTTTTGTTACCAAGCCTGGGGCCTTGGGTGTGTAGTTTGTTTTCATCTTGGCTGATGTATATATTATTTATTATTTTGTTATGTTTTCATCTTGTTTTTGTTTGCCACCCAGAGTCATATATTTGAGATGAGTGGCAGTATAAATTGAATAAATGAATATATAATTAAATTTCAGACTTAATATGAAGCCATATTTAACCATGGTATTTGTATGATAGGTTAGCTGTACAATACCTTGGTTATACATCTACCTGGCACATTATAGTTTATAGGGCATTATTTTATAAATTTGGCTGAAAGTCTGTCTTGGAATATTCAAATCCACTTCTGTAAAAACAAGTCAACATTACAGTAAATCCTCAATTTAACAGAACAGTAAGGGGAAGGATCCGTTAGACCCAAATATTTCTAAAATAGTGAATGGGGTTTTATGCATGCATAACGTTTTACACATAGATTTTATGTATGTGGAAAATGGTGAATGGTATTTTAAACATGCATTAAATAGTGAATGAACTTTACCCTTTACATTCAAAGCCTGCTACACTGAGGCCTAATAAATCAAGGATTTACTATATATAATTACATAGGGATCCGTTTTTATTCATCGCGAAATGAATGTGTTAAAGAACTTAGTTTACCACACAAGTCTTATGTACAATATACTATAAATTCATTATCATTAGTAGGATTAATCTTAGCAAGTTGGTTCATTTCATGGTTCTACAGTAACTTGGACTAAATAATCTGAAGATATCAGGAAGTCAGGTTGAAGTTTAGTAATAATTAAATTCTAATAGCAAATATAGATGAGTTTAGTATACATGCATACAATTTCTTTTTACCTGAGCAACTTCCTGTTGGTATGTTACAAAATGTTCCTTGTTGATCTGTGGGAGGTAGAGCGAAGGCACGATTTCAATGTCCACAAAATCCTGTCCCCATGTTTTTGTAAAGAAATCAGATTCCCTTTTTGTTAATCGAGGATCATTTAGTGCTGCTGGGAGATTTACTTTGGAATGATAAATAGTCCATCGATGCTGATCAACAACTAAAGATGGGCTGTCACATAAGCTATTAGGATCACCTGCAAGGCAAAAAAATCTAATCATGGAATATAACCTAGCAAAAAAAAAAGTATTTCATAAGCTTACAATACTTCTGTAGGCTGATTATACAGTTAAACCATACAAACAAGTATTTAAAGAATTATTGTAGAGCAAGAGAATGTATTAGCTGGACTTAGATGTGTCTGAATTTAGTACACCACATTCTTGAAACAAGAAGAGTGAGCATATTCTTCTTGCTCTTATGAATACTATTAGTATTCACAAGAATAGAAAACTGCGAACACTTCAATACTGTCAATGATACAGCAAATAAGAGTTTGTATCCAGAAGGTAACCTGAGATATCATTAAAAATATACTTTGTGAATCCTCAGAATAGAAAACTGCACCCATTACAATATTTTTCAACAGCAAAGCCATTATAGTTTGCTGACTTCCCATACCAAATGGTAGCAGAGTTCATTGGGAGGGAAGAAAGAAATATTTGTGCCCCATTTATTACCCAGGTAGCACATAATCAAGCTGGGCCTATTCCTGCCAAAACCTTGTTTAAATAATGGCACAAAAATGTTTTGTTCATTAATTTCTAAAGCTCTAATTCATTGGCTCAATTGCAGGTTGTATTTCTGCCAAAACTTTGGAAACTTATTTTTCTAATAATGTTAATGTTTCTAAGAATACTTATGGGATTGAAGCCAAAAAGCAAGAAATAAATAAGCAGGATTCAGAAAGGTCAGGTCAGTGCTTGTCCACAATCTGTTCTTTATTCATTTACCTGTGAAATAATGAAATCTTTTGATAATGGCCTATATATTGTCCATATATATTTGAAAACTGCCTTCATTTTAATTTTAAGCATTAGGGATTAGAAAAATGATTTTTTCTTCTAGTGGTAAAAGATTGCTGTTGTTAATTATCTATCTCTATCAGAATACTGCAGGCCAAATTGTATCTGGTTAGGACAGCAATTTGTCTACTCTCCATTTTTTGCCATTAAAATGTCTGGTAGAGTTGTATACTCATTCTCACGCTGTTTAACATATATTTAAACTATTTGATTGTGATCTGCTTATCTTCCTATTTTTGTTCACTTCAAACTTGCTGAATCTAAAATATTCTTAGTGTTATATACAGGCGATATACCATTTTGTCAATAAAGCAGCTATGTTTAGTTATAATTTTTTGATAGGTGAGTTACTGTAAAATAATAAGTAAGCCAGACATTTTCAATATTTCACTATTATTTTGCATTCTTCCAGGTCTTGAGTAGCTTGGAGACTTCTGTCATTTAGTCTATACCAAATAGTTCTAAAGCTATAATTTATTTTATATGAAGGGGAAAATTTATTTTCAGCACTTACCAGATGTTGAATAAAAATGCACTGACTCAGTTGTCCAATCTGGATTTGGGTTTTTAACCTCTGAATAAGTGTATTCAATATCTTTGTAATTTCTCTTGTTATGCCAGATGTCCCACCTGAGTTTCTGAAAGAGGCTCCCCTTTGGTTGAGTGCAGAGCTTGATAACAAGCATTCAGTTTGGGAGATTATGTATTCTAATTTTTCTTTTCAGGTTATATGTAAATTCTCCAAAAGAACACACATTCATTTATTGTCAAAAGTATTTGATAATATACTTGTATTAACCTCCTCTGTAAACTCCTTTTCCACTCAGAACTATTGTTAGGCAAAATCTATTCTTGAATGTTGATTTACAACGTTTTAAGAGTGCTGCTCTGAAAACTCACTTTTCAATACATCTTGGTTTTTAATTATATCACTGACAACTAGCCAGATAACTTGACTGTTCTCCAATATCTATTAATCTTAAAAGTATAGTTTGCTGTTGCTCAAGATCAGGAAATTCTATCTATCTATCTATCTATCTATCTATCTATCTATCTATCTATCTATCTATCTATCTATCGAATTTGTTAGTCCTTAAGGTGCTACCACTCTCTTAGATAAATGAAAAAAATAATCCAGCTATCTTTTTGAAAACAAAAAACAAAAACAAAAAACAACCCCAGAGTATATCTGACTGTTTAAACATGGTAATTAACGTTGTTACCTGTGGGTTCCTTGGGACATACATCTGGTAGTGTGCGCACTGGTCGAAAGCATTTGGAAGAATCCATTTCCTTTTTAAAGAAAGCATCATTGTTCTTTGACTGAGGCACTGGTGAAGACCGGTGGCTTGAGGCCATTGCATAAAATCACTACTGGATAAATACTGGATTAAAAAAATATGTATATTTATATAGACATGTTCAAACATCATAGGAGAATAATGAAACATATACCAGTTATAAGTGAAAACATTTACAGTATGAGTAACTAAAAATAATTCCATACTAGCAATGACTACATGAAATGTTAAATTATTTTATCAACACCCCACACAAAATTAAACCAAACCTCCGAGTACTTCAGCTCATTTAATAGAATTCATTTAAACAAATTATTACTTCAAAACCAAAGTGCTAAAAGGTATACATTCTGCGGCGCTTTATAAATGGCTGTAGGAAAGGAAGAAAAGGAGTGACAATGAATAGTTTGGATGGATCAATCTGATCATCAAGTGTGGTAATAGAGATTTCCTAAATCCCCAAAAATATCTTTTCCTCCAAGTTACCTGACAGTATCTTCATGCTCTATTCCCAGCCTCAGAATTCAGTTCAGCATTTTATACCCTTCTTTCTTATCAGCAAGTTATATTCCCTTCTCTTGCATTTTAGTTACCTTTCTTCCCCTTCAGTTTGAGGCAGAGGAGCTCCCATTTGTAAATGTGCACTATTAGTGATTGTAATTACAGCTGCTAAAATGAATTCAGCTTCTCTTATATATATAAATGTGTACTATATAAATGTGTACTTTTAACACCCTTCCTATTTCAGCGACTCTACAAGTTTAGATCGTTATCCTTAACCTCAAAACATTATGGGAAGGGTTATTATAAAATACTGAGAAATCTTGATTTAAAAAATCAAAGCCAAAGCAGGATTCCTTTCTGATCAACACTCCTAGCTTTTATATAATATCAGCTGTTGATGGTGATTGGCACAGAACTGAACGTGGAATTCTATTTTTTAAATAACTACTATCATAATACAGAGAAACCGATTTGACATTAAGTTTCACTGAATTCAGTGGGACTTACTTGTGAGCATACCTGAACAGGTTGCACTATAACTTTTATACACACACACACACACCAATGATATCAAGATAATAATCCCAATCAATCCATTTTATTTGCACAACAAACTTTTGAATAATAGAATATGAAATGTAATTTGCCCAAATGTCATGGTACAGTAGAAATGAGCTCAGGGCAACATATTAGCAGAATACCATATTTAATAAATATTTAGAATACCAGGGCAGTATTTCAACATTTTTTTTATTTAAGAGTTTTCTAGTGAACTGGGATGTGTATATTTCTTACATCAGCTAAGAAAAGAGAACTGAGGAAAACCAGTAAATAGACTGCAAGTGCAAATAAGGAAAGCAAGTGGAAGAGAAGAGGCAGAAAAGGTGGAGAACCTGCTGGTAACTTCAAGAGGGAGAAGGAGGAACACATTAGCCCTGCCTAAAGGAAGACACTGTTAAAAGCTAGCAAATCATGAAAGTAAGTAGCTGAGGAGGAGGAGGAGGAGGAGGAGGAGGAGGAGGAATGGCTGCAGATTCCAGGGAGACTGGGACAAGCATGCGATGCCTGCCCTCCTTTTGTTGCTGTCCTCCACATGCAGAAAGTGAGTATCTGCAGCAGACAGCTTCCTCCACCCATAGGTCTCTGTGCAAATGATCAGATAGAAAACCAGGATCCTCTGTCCACAGAGGGTCTTGACAGAGTTACCATGCATGCTAACTGAGCAGTTCTATTATATGAAAGTTACAGCCACTGAACTCAGTGGAACTTACTTTTGTCATCTGCAAGGGAAAAAAAAATAAATCCAGGACTGGTTTTAGTGTGAGTTGGCAACCCTAGTTTGACAAGGTAGGAAGTCAGGCAGGACACAAAATTTTTGTGTTTATAATTTTTTCCCGTCTAATTTTCCTTTTTTGTAAAGACATCTTCCTTTCACGTAAATATGTGCCATTTTAAAAATTTAATTATTATCAAGTATTACCCTAGAAAACATAAGCTTTCTTCTAGGAAGTGAAACTGGGAGACTGTGAGTTCTAGTCCCATCTTAGGCACAAAGCCAACTGGGTGACTTTTGGCCAGTCACAGTCTCTCAGCCTTAGGAAGGAGGCAAGGGCAAAACAATTCCAAAAATCTTGCCAAGACGACTGCAGGGACTTGTCCAGGAAGTCACTGGAAGTCAACACTGACTCAAAAGCGCATGTACACACACACACACACACACACAAAAGGCAACTTTTTGAATTTTTGAGAGCATGGGAATAGGTGGGAATATTCCATACAGGTAGTCCTTGCTTAATGTCCACTCATTCAGCAACCAAAGTTACAACAGCACTGAACGAGGGGTATTTATGACAGGCCCTTGTAGTTGTGGCTGTCACAGCATCCCCAGTCATGTGATCACGATTTGAGTGCTTGGTGACTGGCTTGCAATTACAACATTGCAGTATCCCGGAGTGAAGTCACATAATTGCCATTTGTGATCTTCACTGCTGGTTTCTCACAAGCAATGTCAGTGGGGAAGCAGGAGCTTGCAAATGGTGATCAAGTGACCGTGGGACACTGCAACCATGTGGAATTTGCCTAATGATGGCAACTGGGACTGCCGGAACTGCTGTTTTAAGTTGGTGTAGTCACGTGACGTCATGCCTTAAGACCGCATCTCTTACTGATGAAGCTCCCAGTCCCAATTATCGTCAGTAAGTGAGGACTACCTGTATTTGCAAAAGGGCTGCTGTGGAAGATATGATTACACAATATGCTGGCTTGGTTGCTTCCTGGCACTACCTCTAATCCTTCACCCACCCCTGGATGCTTTCTACCACCAATTACTCATTTTCTATGCTTTCTACCACCAATTACTTATTTTCTATGCTTTCTACTATCAATTACTTATTACCAATTACTTATTTTATGCTTCCTACCACCAATTACAGTGGTACCTCGGGATACGAACTTAATCTGTTCCGTGACTCTGGTTGCAACTCGAGTT